CAGGAAGCCCCGCTGGAAGCCCCGGCCCCGCTGGCGCCGCTCGCGCGGCGGCCCTGGCTCACGCCGGCGCGCCCCTGTCGCGCGCCCCCGCAGAAACTCCACCAGAAACTGCGATCAGAACTCCAGATGGGCGGGCCCTTCGCCAATAATTTGCCGGACGCGCACAGGCGACGCCAGGCCCCGCCCCGCGCCAATTCATGGCGCGCTCCCGCGGCGAGGGGCCCCAAAACCGAACCATGGAAGCCGATCCCGCGCGCCGCTGCAGGGCGCGTGATCGCCCTGGGCCGCCATGACAATCGGCTACTTCGGCAAGGCAATCGCCGCGCGCCGCAAACACCGCTTGCGCTCGGAGCGCTTGCACCGTTATAACATAATGCCATTAATCTTACAAGCGTCATACATATGTTGTTGCTCCTTCATGTTCGTAACCGATGTTACAGCTACTTTGAAATTGTCAAACACGCCGGTACCTCCTCATACTACCACCATTCTAACGCGAAGGACTCGGATAGCTCCTCCGAAATCGCGAAATGGCACAAGTAGTTGGCGACGTCCGCCTGAGCGGTGAAGACCTCCTCGCCAGAGTCAAACTCCAGGTCCGCCAGCTTGCTGCCCGAAGACATGTTCATATTGGGGCACTTGGCGAGAGGCGTGTCGACCGCTCTGCGATCCCAGACGATCCGCAAGTGCCCTGACTTCTTGCGAACGGATAAGGGCGCGAGGGGATCATGAGCGTTAGTCGAGCACCGCAGCATCTTTGCGCGACCTAGCCGCGCCGCGAAGTCAGCATACTTGCTAGGGGCCTCAACCAGGGCCCTGTCCCTGCAAGGCACGACTGGGGCCTCAGCGCTCTCGCGTCGCTGGCCGAACTCGCCATCAGACAACATCGCCCACGCTCTAAACTCCCAGAGGCACTGGGCCCCCTCGGGGTCGATGACATCAAATGCGGCGGGAGGCTACTCCAACTCCTCCCGCGCCGCGATCCGCGCGGCATCGCATCTGGCCGCAGCACTTGGAAACTCTCCGCTTTCGCGGGCGAGGCCGGAGCCGAGAAGCTCGCGGGCGGCTCGAAGACGGCGCCCCAGCGGGTTGGGCGCGCCGCAAAGTTGAGGGCCTGGATATTCTCGTCGGCCCTGAGCCCCTCGGCATGCCGCTGTCGAAGTCGCTGGCGTACTGAATGGGAAAGATGCGAAGCGCCCGGCGTCGCCTCGTCGAAACTTGGGAGCGGGAATCGCTCCCTGGGCACGCGCCGCACCTCGCCACCGTATGAAGGCTCGAGGTAGCGTGGCTGGCGGGCAACGGGGCAAGCGGGCCCAGTCGCCGCCCCCGCGGACCCTTCCGCGTCATTGGGAGCCTGCGGCGTTGGCCGCCGCTGCGCGGTTGCCCTTGCCACGGCTCTCGCCGCGCGCCATGCCCCCCCCCTCCCCCCCCTCGCCTTCCGAGCCTCCTGCGCGATCGCAGGCCCCTGCGTAAGCTGGTCGGCGACGTGGGCCGACATGCTGGGCGCGATGGCCGCGCCTCCAGCGCGACGACCCCTGATCCGCCGAGCTGTAGTCGGGCCTGCTCGGCGCCACCCTGCGCGCCTCCTCGATCAAGGCCAGGCGCCGCGAGGCCAACTCCATGCACGGAAGCGACGGGCAGGCCAACCGATCCTGCATTCCCGCGGCCTCGATGATGCGGCTGAGCACCTCATGCTCGTAGATGCCCCTGTCGCCCGCCGGCACCCTCGAGAGCCTCACCCAATTCTCGTGCGCGTGGAAGGCGCTGTTCCCGTTGCCCCTCACGCGCATCATGTGCCAGAGGACCGTGCGCGGCCCCTGCGGCTCCCAGCCGCCGGGGATCGCCTCCTCTGACGAGCTGGCTACCGCATCCCAGATGCGGCGTCGCTCACCGTGAATGTCGACCTTCACCGCCATCGTGCGCGAGTCGCCTTTCGCCAGCACCCGAGCGTCCGCGGCCGTGAGCTGCGCCGCCGCCGCCGAGTTGCCGTAGACGTGGACGAGGGCGCGATCCCTCATCGTCAGAGACCCTGGAGGCAACTGATGGCACATGAGGTCGCCGATGGCATATCCAGCACGATCCTCGATCGCAAGCCAGCTGACCCCAGCGGGTGGCACCAGCGCTCCACCGGGGCCGGACCCAGCAGCGGCGGCTGCGCCGCCAAGGCCCGGTGGGATGCCGAGCGCAGCGCCCCCGGCCGCGCCGACGGCTCCGGCGGCCGCGGCAACGCCGGGCGGCACCAGCGCCCCCGCAGCGGGGGCAGGAGGCGCGCCGCCGGGCACAATGGCAACGCCCGCGCCCGCGGCTGGCGCCGCCGCCGCCGGAGCAGCGCCGCCGGGCACAAGGGCAACGCCCGCGCTCGCGGCCTGCGCCGCCGCCGCCAGAGGCGCAGCGGCGCCGGCGGCCCCGCCTGCGCCGGCAGCAGCACCTGGAGGATCGAAGTGGTACACCAGCGGCAGCGGGGCGCATGGCCCCCCCCAGAGTGCTAGCACCCAGCATCGCGAAGGCGTGGATCACGGCCTGTGCTGGCGGGCCCAGGAAGATTTAGATCTGGCCAGCCATCACCCCGATGGGCACCTCGTCCGCGTGGGACAACACGATGGCGCTAACGAAGTCCAGCCCGATGTTGCACGTTTCCTCGTAGTGGTCGAAATCTGGCTGGGCCCGTACGCGTCGTCCGTAGCTGGACGCACCGCCACAGCCAGCCGAACATGATAGACAGCGGGGCCCAGCACTCCACGATACTTAACCAACAGGTAATCACCAGGATTGAACACCATCACGCCGAACGGGCACCTGATGCGCGGTTCCGCACGCACGTCAGCTGGGCCCGGGCCTGCTCCTCGATCGTCAAGCCTGGCGCGTCGACCGTCACCGGGGGCACCGCAATGGCGTCAGCCCGCTGCACCGTGCGGGTAGGCAGGCCCCACACCGCGCCCAACACGCAGGCGCCGAGCACGGTGATCGACAGCTGCACCACTGCGCCCGCAACGGCCAGCGGCGAGGGCGTCGAGCAGACGCACGTGGCCGCAGGCACCGCCGGGAAGTGCAGGGCAGGGGCGCAAGCAGGGCACGGCTTGCTCGCGCCACTCAATGCCAGGCCGGTGCTAAACCCACGCGCGAGTTCGAGAACGCAGGAGCGGGCCACTTGCATAACCGGAAAAAACTTGAGCCAACGTGTCTATGGAACGGTGATGATGAAAGGATCATCTAGCAGGCCGCTAGGGGACTTCATCGGCGATATTTCTCCGGCCGTACGCATGCTTACGGCAGGAAAAGAAACACGCTGTCCTCTTTATCCTTTCAAGCTCGTTCTGTGGACCCTGAATTACACGTCGTTCATTTCTAATCGTGCTTTTTTCTAGTTGTGCTCGTTTCTAATTGCTCCTGGCCCACTGGTGGCCAGGAAAAGGCCTAGGATACAACAATTAGAAATGACAGGATCTAAGCCCCCCGATAGTCGAAGAACTTTCGAAGAGATCGAAATGAGCAATGTGTATACCTGGGACGGCGGTACTTCAACACCGCAGACAAAATTCCCGAGCAAACGCATACATGATGGGACGCTTCGGCTTCGGACATCTCAACGGCAGGACTGTAAAATTCAAGACCACGATTCGCGCGGAGGCTGATGTCACTGCTCCGTGCGACTCTGACTGGCGCCGCCTTCGGGACCCAAGCGGGCCCCATCCATGTGGCCCTCGGCTTAGTTGCCCCGTGCGTGGGTGTCCTTTCAGGGCCCCCTAAGCGGGGACATGGATAAAACAAGGCATTGGCGCACCCAAGATAACTGCAGCCGTGGGAATCCGCGCATTCTCCAGGTGGATCTTCCAATGTTCTGGTCAGCGGTTTCTTGGTCTGGGGGGCTCTGATCCCTCGCTGTCTCCGCAGCAGTCGCGCCAGAGGTCACGCCCAGACGCACGGTCCCGCATGCATCGGGCCCTGGGCTTCGGCTGTCCTGTGCGTGCGCGAAAGGAGTCGGGCGTTGCGTAATAGGGCGGGCGAGAAATGGGGGGAGACACGTGCACCGTTCGTACCCCGTTTGGGGCCCCGGGGGCCCTTCTATGGCACAAGAAGGCCACCTTTCTTCACCCTTCCAGGTCTCGCCCCCCGTTGCGCAGCGCCCGAACGAGCTCGGCCGAGGGGCATTCCGGCCGCAGAGCACCCCCAGCTCGACTGCCCTGTGCACGGGGGTTCTGCGCAGTCTCCGCCGCCGTCGCCCACAGGGCCCCGCCCACGGGGTCCCACCCGCGGGGCCCTGGCCCACGCGGTCCCGCCTCAGTCGGGGCGGCTGTGGCTACCAGCAAGGTCCCGCCAGATTGTGGATGCCCCTGCTCGTCGTGCCTGCTGTCCCAGAGATCTGAGGCTCCGAGAAATTTAGAGCGGCTGGCTCTGGACCATTTTCGACCTCCTGGGGCCCTCAAGTGGCCCTGGGACCGTCAGAAACCAGCTCGGGCTGAAAACCTCACACCGGGGAAGTGGTACAGATCACCGCGGGGTCCAGGATCAGGAAAAGGAGGAGGAGGAGGAGGAGGAGGACGAGGAGGAGGAGGAGGAGGAGGAAGACGACGAGGAGGAGGACGACGAGGAGGAGGAGGAGGAGGAGGAGGAGGAGGAGGGAGGAGGAGGAGGAAGAGCAAGGGTAGGATGAGGAGCAGCAGAGGCAGCAGCCGTGGCAGCGGCAGCGACAGCGCGCACAGGCACCAGGGGCAGGAGGTGGGAGGTGGAGGAGCTGAAGCAGCGGCAGCAGCAACAGCAGCAGGCGAGAATCGCCCCCCTCCCCGTTTTGGCATGAAGGAGCGGGTCCTGAGGGAAACAGGTCCAGGAACCTGGGGCGCTGCACCAAATCCAACACTTCGCCGGCGAGCCGCTCTCCGACGATACTCACCAGACCCGTGGACGGCCCCAGGAGCACAGGGAAGACGAGCAGTCTCGGGACCCGCTTCCCGCAGGACCCGCTCGCCTGCGTCGTGGCGGCCGCCCCGCCCCCGCGCCCCCTCCATGGCGATGTGGCCCGGCTCCCCGCAGGCGAAGCAGTCGCGAGACCTGGAGGGCGGGCCCGGGCGGGGGCGGTCCTGCCCAGCGCGCCGTCTCTCGCCTTTTTAGACGAGCGCGTTCCACGACCCGCGAAGCCACTACTCGCAGATGGCGTGGATCCCCCGCGGGGGATCTACGATACATTACATGAAGGCAGGCATGTTTTTTCGGACGTTTACGACATGTCCCGCCTGCGCGCCAGGAGGATGCCGCGCAGCTCCCCTGCCAGAGCGGGGCCCTCGCCAGTGTGGCAGGCCGATGCGGCGTTGGTGCTGTGACCCTGCGCCCGAGATCATCCCACGGGAACGATAAAATTTCGGGGCCCTGGGAGGATGATGCACAGTTTCCCCAGGGGTATGGATGTTGGGATGTCTGAATCGGTGTCGAATGACCTCCACGGTGATATTCAAAAGTGCGCGGTGCGCCTGCGACATCCACACAGCATTGGAAATGACTTGCGACGCGAAAGATATGAAGGTCGTCCATGCTGCTACGCATGATATGAAGATCAGAGCTATGATTGGATCCTTGCCGGGGGATGACAAAGTTCGGCCCCCCCGCCTTTTGTACGAATTTGACAATCGATGAAGGCCGCAGAAAATACACATAGACGACCCCAGAGGGGGGGTGCTCATCATTACCACGGAGGCGCGGGTATGGAGGAGCGTTTCTTTTAGTCAACAGGAAATCCTGTGGGGACGTGGGAGGAAGCGTCTTGGAACGAGAGGGTGTCGTGCAGCATCGTTGATGCACCTTGGGTCTACTCTGGTCCTCCTCACCCTCGTCCGTCTCATCCTTCCCCTCCCCTCGTGCCCCCCCCCCCCCCCTGCACCCCGCCCAGCAAAAACTTCCCGAGGAAAGCACAGATCACAGGACGTCGTCGACCTGTCTGGAAGTGGAGACGCTCACAGACTAGAGTGCGAGGCCGACTGTCGCGGCTTCAGATAGGAAGCCAACAAGCATACACCGACTCCGTTTGCCAAAGAACCGTCGGACCAAAATCCTGTGGGCGCCCTCCGCACGCGTCGCCACATAAGCTCTGTTTCCTCGTTTGTTAGACACGCGACATCGGCGCATGTGCGCGGCCATCCTGGCGCCCCCTATAGAGCCTACACCACCGAGAAAACGGTCGCGGAAGCGTTCGACGCGATAACTTCCACTGCCCTTTGGGGGGCTTCAGGGGAGCCTAAAGAAAACCCCAGCGGCCCCCTGGAGGGCACCAAGAGAGCGACAAGATGGTTCCAAAAGGGGTCCCCATTAGCCCCTGGTCCAACTCCACAGCGTGGAATTCGAAACGATAACTTCAAGTGCCCCTTTGGGGGCCGCTCGGAGCTTCCAAGACGGCCCCGGAGAGCCCCAGGAAGGTCCCACGAAGGTTCGAAGAGGGATCCGGGTGAGCCTCTGGTCCAACTCCACGGCGTGGAATTCGAAGCGGTCGCTTTCAGCGCCAGGGTGTCATTCCCTCCTCTGCCCCCTGCTGGTGTTGCTCTTCCGGGTCGTCCACCTCGGGGGCCGCATGGCGGGCAGGGCGCGCATGGGCAGATTTTCGACGTCCCCGGTCCATGGCGTCAGCGACGCTGGGCGATTCGCATCTTCCTCCTTCCTGTTCGTATCGGTGGCCCAAACAGCTTCGGACACACGCTGCCGCGGCACGAATTTGGCGTGTCGGGTTGACACGTTTGGTGTCGACTGTGGGGCCACGAGACATGTGCGTAGCCGGAGCCAACGCTCTGGGGAGCCTCTTGGGGCTCCTAAGACGGCCCCAGAAAGCCCCATGAAAGCCCTCTCAAGGACGCGAGAAGGCTCCGAGGGGGTTCCATCAATCACTCCCCGATTATCCGCCGGCCCCCTTGTGGGGCCATCAGGCTGTGGGGCGAAGGTTCGCAGTTTCTTGTGCCAGTTGCAGCTTCCAATTTGCACTGTTACAGTTCTGCTTCTTGCTTCTTACTGTTCCTTGTTGATGGACCGCGCGACGGGGGGAGGCCCAAAACGAGAAGGTTTAGCACGCCCTGAGCATGTGCTCTGAATTGCTGGGGTGTGTAAAAATTAACACCTCTCACACAGATCGGCGGGGTCGGGGTCCAAAAACACAAGGGATTTACCACATTTCTGAAATTCGGTAGCACCCCTCACGCAGATCGGCGGGGTCAGGGTCCAAAAACATAAAGGATTTGCCACACTTCTGAAAGGTGCTGGCACCCCTCACGCAGATCGGCGGGGTCGGGGTCCAAAAACACAAAGGATTTGCAAAAATTCTGAAATTCGGTGGCACCCCTCACGCAGATCGGCGGGGTCAGGGTCCAAAAACACATGAGATTTGCAACACTTCTGAAATTCGCTGGCACCCCTCACGCAGATCGGCGGGGTCAGGGTCCAAAAACACAGGGGATTTGCCACATTTCTGACTTTCGGTGGAAGCCCTGACGGATTATCCTATACAGGGTACCCTGCTGCGCTCATACACGACGGGCCGTTTTTGCTTTAATCCCCCCTCATGCACGAGGGGACCGCTGCGTTGTTGCTGTAATCCCACCCAGCGTACGAATACCTGCTGCTTCCGTCCTCCTCATGGACCAGGGGCGGAGTTTGCTTCAATCCATAACCCCGTGCACGAGGAGACGTCTGTTCTACAATCCCACTCGTGTACAAAGAGCAGGTTTGCTACAATCCCCCTCGTGACAGAGAGGGCGAATTCACAACACACACCCTCATGTTCGAACGAGGGTCTACTTGTCCTATAATCCCCCCACCGCGAACGAGAAGCAATTTTTGCTGCAGGCCCCTCACGACCAAGAGACTATTTGTGATACAACCCTCCCTCACGCGCGGCGGAAATTTGTTGTTACAACCTCCCCCCATCATGCACGAGAGACCGCTTTCGCTCGAGTCCTCCCTCGTGTGCGAGGAACCGTTCAATTGAATATCCCCCCTCGTGCACGAGGGACGGTTTTTGTTACGCCCCCCCGTGCACCGGGGACCGTTTTTGCTACAATTCCCGCTCACACGCGAGGGCCAGTTGTTGCTACCATCCCTCCTCTTCACGCACGAGGGACAGCGATTGCTACAGTGACGCCCACGCACACTGGACAGTCGTTTCCACCCCCATCCTCTATTGCAAATCACACCGGAGAAAACCCGAATCAGTTGTTCGAGCGAAGCGTGTTAAGGCATCGCGATGTCTCGGAACCCCTTGGGCCCCCCTTCGAGGCCTTCCCAAGGCCCCCGAGAAGCCTCCAGAGAGGCCTCAAGAAGGCCTCAAGATAGCCCTGGGAATTTTCACTCTCACGGGCGCCGGAAGTGACAACTCGAAGGTGCCTCCCGGGTCCCTCCCAAGCCTTCTTGGCACCCTCCGGAAGCTTTCCCGAGGACCCGAGGAGGCCCTGGAAGGCCCCGAGAAGCACCCAAAGGCTTCCAGAGGGCCCAGTGCTGGGGGAGGCGTCCCTGCCCAAAAAGTCCTGCAAGCCTGCCAGGTGACAGGGACTGGGCGAGGGCCAGTCCTGGCGTTGACGACGACCGTTTCGCCTGTGAAAAAAAATCAGTGCGCGCCCCGACCGAAAGATTGGTGCACAGCGAAAACCGAGAAAGTCCCGAAGGAAAATCAAGTACACACCGAATTTAGTATACACTGATGACAAGAATCCTGTCTGAAAAAATGTTTTTCGCATGAGTTCGCTCGCGCGCACGCGCGCGCGAACGAACCATGCGAAGGTTTGCAACGCCAGATCGCGCCACCTGCCCCAATCCTCGCCCCCGCAGCCGAAATCTGGGATTGCCACCCAGGGGCGCGCCTGCGGACGCTGGTGCACGATCTCGTTCCTGGGAGCAACATGGCCTCCGGAGAGGCCCCCAGGAGAGCCTCAAGAGGGCCCTGGGAATTGTCACTTTCACGGGCGCCGGAAGTGGCAACTCGAAGGTGCCTCCTGGGGCCCTCTCAAGCCTTCTCGGGGCTTTCCCGAGGCTTTCCCGAGGACCCGAGGAGGCCCTGGGACGGCCCCGAAAAGCACCCAGCGGGCTTCACGAGGGCTCCATGAAGGCCTCAATATTGCTCGAACAGGCCCTTCCTAGATGCTCTCGGCAACGCGTTTCGAAGGCTTCCTGGAAATTTAGGAGGAGCTCTCTTGGGCTTCTCTCGGGCCTTCTTGGAGCACTCCCGAAGCTCTCCGAAAGGTCCCGAGGAAGCGCCGGGAGGCATCCAAGAAGCTCCAAGAAAGCCCCAAGAGGGCTCCAAGAAGGCTCCAAGAAGGCCCCTCCCAGAAGCTCCCAGCATTACGCTTCGGAGAGCTTTCTGGGAGCATCTGGGAGGGGGCCTCTTGGGGTTCTCTCGAGCCTCTTTGGAACTCTCCCGAAGCTTCCCGAGGGGCCCGAAGAAGCCCTGGGAGGCCCCCCCAATCAGCCCTGCAGGGCTTCAAGGAAGGACTGGTGGCCGAGGAAAAGAAGCAGGCTCAGTTCGCCTGTGGGCCTCCCGCGCTGGCGCGAGCCGCTCGTTCAGTCGAGCGCCCAGGCATTCTTCAGGGGAGCTGGGACACACAAATAAAAACACACAAATAAAACTATCCCCCATGTTTTCCCATATTTTCAGGGTTTTTGTCTTCCCCCCCATTTCCCATATTTTCCCATATTTTCCCGGGGGTCGACGATTAATTGTGTCTGTGTTTTTTTTTCCCTCCTGAATTCTTTTGGCAACGACGACGTGGAGACGGGAGATGAGGAAATCCTCGTTGGGCGCGAGGCCCTTCTCCGAGTGGGGGGCATAACGGCCCCCCTTGGATCTGCAGGAGGGGAGGGCCACTTTCGCGCGCTGTCGAAGGGGCGGGGGGGTAGGGTGCACGGTTTTGAAGTTCAAGCTCCTGGGCCAGGAGGACTAGCCGAGTAGCGTCGGCAGTCCCCGAGGTGAGCTTGTCAATTACGGGGCGGTCGTGGGCGGGAGAAGATGAGACATCGATTCCCAAATCAGCGCTTGCACTGAAGAGGCCCCGGCGGAGATTGACATTGAATACGCACATGTCATGTCAAGTTCGGTGCGCGGCCAGGTTCGTGGGTTTCGAGTTTCGGACCCTCCAAGACGACATTCGAAGGCCCCAAGATGAGCCCAAGGAGAACCATAATGAAGTCACGCAATTGCCAGTTGCCCTCTCGCGTGAGATTGTTCTAACTCCGCTGACCCCTTCTTGGAACCCTATCGCGTCTCTCTGAGACGGCGCTGGCTCTGAGAATCGGAGAGCCCCAGAAGGGTCCCAAGAGGAGCCCACATGAAGCCAAGGGAGAACCCTCTGGCATGAC